AAGTATATAAACAATTGTATATATGATAAAAATTTTACAGAGGGAATCACAACCAAGTACCCTTGGAAAAGCATATTCACAGTTGAGAATCCTTAAATTTTAATTTCACACTGCAATCTTTGGGGGTCCTAATTGCAATTAGTTATGATTGTAAAAATACATAATTTCTCCTAATTGTATTCTGGATAAATTATAAGAGAATTATTTTTTGTTAAAATGGAATAAAGTATTGTTATTTTGTAGATGGGCACTTATTCATGGCATGAACAAATTTGATTTGAGGCAATTATACATTTTTACAATCACAATTAATTACAGTTAGTACCTCAAGAATTTGTACTGTGAAATCAGAATTTATTAGCCCTCAATTGTGAAAATGTTTTTTCAAGGTTTCTTGATTGTGATTTCCCCAAGTTTAAAATAGTAAATAAATACTATGAAGGTGGCAAAGGTGAGTATGATAAATAAACACATATGCTTATCATTTTTAATCATTATGCAAATCTCACTTAAAATCTGATATGATTTAATTTGTAATTTTTTCTCGTATGGGTTCTCAGTAATCTTATTTTTAAAAAATAATAATAATAAACATACATGCATATTTTTATTGAGTAGGATTTATTTAAATTGATTTTAGTGATGGATCTGATCATGATGGGACAATCGTACATTCATTTTTCCCAAAACCGTGTGGCCCTCAACAAAGTGCTTTACATCTCGTGAACTATATTGTCCGCTCGTATCATCCGCGATAACAAGCCTCGACTTGTTATTAAAGTTGATAGACGGGCCAGCTTAGGGTCCGTTTGGTTTTCAGTTGGGTATAATAAATTATGAAAATAATTGATTAAGTGGTAGATTTTAATCATAATTGATTATGTTATAACGCAATGTGTTTGGATACTGTTTTTTTAAAATTAATTTTAATAGAATTAAAAATATTTGGATAATTTAATCAGAATCAATTTTAGTTATATAAATTACTATATAATTTAATTCTTAAATATCAAACATTAATTTTTTGAGAATACAAAATTTAAATTTTATTAAGGAAAAAAAGAGGGAAGAGAAGAGAGTTTAATTTTATTTTTATTAAATTATGTGCTTTATTTGTAATTTTTCGTGGGCCTTCTTTTGTAATTTTCTCCAACGTTTTTTGATAAACTTTTGGCAAAAGCTGATTCCATCAGCTTCCGGAAAAACGCGCGTAAGACTTCAGAATCGATTTTTATTCTTTTTCAACCGTTTGGGTAATTTCATTTTAAAAATCGATTTTAGGCACAAAAATCGATTTTGAAGCCTAACCAAACGGGCACTTAACCTATATGAACTTGATCTTTATAAATCCAGTTCTTATAAATTTAGGTTTTAAAGCTCAGTTACTTCAATTTTATTTTAAAATTAAAGCCTAATCTTTATTTAAAGGGCTCAAGATTGGGCCCGTAAGCTTAGATAAGAATAAAATAAAATAAAATTTAACATTAAAATTTATTTAAAATATTTTAAAATTTAACATATATCAAATCAAAGTCTCACATAATTTAAAAAATGAACAAAAAATTTAAAAGTTCAAATAAGATAAAAGCAAACATATCATCAATCCTAATCAAGATCTCCCTCATTATCATCCATAAATAAAATATTAAAACCCTTAGATGTAGGTCCACTTGTGAAAGATGGAGGCAGAGGCTCAATATTAATTATTTATACAGCTTCTTCATCATCACCTACATTAATTATTAATTAAATTATTTTATTATCAAATATATATCTATACATATATCACAAGATAAAATATAAAAATTACCATAAAATCGCACAAAACAATTCAACCAATTGCGGGTACAAATCAATGTTTGCACATTATCTGGAAAGAGGAGAAAACAATATTTTGTAAATAGTAAAACGGGCTTCACGGGCCGCCCGAGCCCGAGTCTCTTTTTTTAGGGCTTAAAAGGGCTGGGCCTTAAAGCCCGATTACCCTAAAAAATACCAAATTTTTAAGCCCAAACCCTTATTAAAACGGGTTTAAACGGGCGGCCCGTTAAGCCCGGCCCTTGTTCCTGATTCTACTTGTTATTCTGACAAGCTTCGCATCTTTTGATAGTGATTACAAATATCTTCTATAAACTTTACTTAATGTAAAATATAAAGTATTAAATAATTTTTATATTTATTTTTTAATTACATCCTTATTTTATTCATTATTTATTTATTATTAAAATTTTAATTACCATTAATAAAGCTTTTATATGTAACATTTAATAACAATATAAATAAAAAGTTGTAAACGTTTTTAAAAATTTAAAATTTAAAATAATACTGTTAATAAATTATAAATTAATTAAACATGACTTATATTGTGGTATGAAAAAAATATTATATTATTTAGTAATTATTTATGAATGAAAAAAATAAACGACATAGATTTGTAAAACAGCAATATTATTGTTTTGTATCTGTTAGTACTCATGAACAAAAGAATAAAATATACTCCTTCCGTTAAAAAAATATAAAATATTTTTAATTAAATCTCATCCTAAATAAAATATTTAATTATTTTTAAATTATTATATTTTTTTATATTTATCTCTATTTAATAGGATGTCTTTTTTCTAAAAAATATAAAGTGGTCTATTCAGTAGAGATATTTTTTTTAAAACAATAATAATTATATCTTGAAAGATTAAATTTTTTTTATATTTTTAATTATTCAATTTTTTAAAAAATATTTATATTTTTTATCAGAGATTTCTTACTTGGCTTTTAAATAGAAATGCAAATCCTACAGGATGATGGAAAAGAGCATTCTCAAATTTGAGGCGTCAGCAAAGCCACTAGTCTGAAGTTTGACATATCGCTTTCAATGGTTCTTTTAAAATTTTTTATTTATGTTTTGTCAGAACCATCCAGATGTCAACGTGTTATGTTCTTGTTTTAATTGTTGGCTTGTGTTCTTGTGTAAATTAAAGCTAATAGAACTCGAAGCCCGAATTCACCTTGGATGATTTTTGGAATTTTTTATATGTATTTCTTTTTATTTCAATGAAATTGATCCTTATTAAAAAAAAAATACCATCAACCCCCTATTCAATTCACGAGAGAATAAAATTATGGGTAAATGAGTTTTAAATTTTAAGTTCAAAAACACCATAAATTTTGAACTCATTTATTACACAAATTATACCCTCAATTTTTAAAAATGGTATAATTTGACTTTTATTGTTAACAAAAGTTAACTTTAATCTATTAGTTGATCATAAAATAATATAAAAAAACCTCAAAAATTATAGACAAGCACTCAAAAAACTATAGAAAAGGACTAAAAAATTTTGTCCACTTTGTTGTAATTTTTAAAATCTTTTTCTGTCATTTTATAATCAATTAATGATTAAAATTAACTTTTATCAACGACAGAAGCTAGATTGCATCGTTTTTAAAAGTTGAGGGGACAATTTGCACAATAAAAAAGTTTAAAGTTTATGGTAATACTGGACTTAGAATTTAGGGAACAATGTGCTCATTTTTCCTAAAATTATTTTATAGTATTAGTTACTATTTATAACTGTATAAATTGTATATTTATTTAGTAAACTGAATCATTTTATTGGCGAAGATGTTTGTTGCATGTTTTTTTTATACATTTGTTACAAAATAAATGAAAATATTAATTATTTTTATATGAACAAATAAAATGCAAATAACTTAGTATTTACAAAATAAATGAAAATATTAATTATTTTTATTTTCACAAATAACTACTATAATGTGAAAATTTATACCTGCTCAGTTTAAAATATAAGTATTTTTTCAACTAATTTAATATATAATCAACTTAGTATTTATAATTTTTTTCATTTTACCCTTATATTTATTGACCAAGATTTTTGTGTTTGTGATATGACCTTGTTCTTACTTATTATATATTGGAATTAAGGGTAAAAAAATGTAACATGAATTTTCATAAAAATAATGATTTTATTGGTTGATGAAATATTACTAAAAGTTCCTTAATTTTCCAGTTAAATAATTAAATATGTTTGTTAATAAAAATCGGAGGGATTGCTAGGGTATTATTAAAAATTGATCTAAACAAATCAAGTTTATAATAGAAGCACAACGAAAAGAAAGTGGAGAGGAAAAAAAAAACCCAAAAGCGCAGAGAAGCACTTGATATATTGTAAATCTAAAAAAATTAAAAGGCTAAAAAAACCTGCCCTTGTGTAGAGCCGAGAATAAAGGCCCGGCTTGGAGATCTTGTTTAAATAAAAGTTCGGGTTTTGAAAATAACTTTTTTTTAAAGTAATGGGATTTGAGGGCTTGGCCCTGATAAGCCCTGTAAAAAAGGGCTCAGGTAGCCCTTCAAGCCCTATTTATATTATTATTATTATTATTTTCTTTGATAGAACATGTGTTTGAAGCCAATGACCTATTTACCTGATCCTACACACATTATATTATTATTAATTTTAATTTATTTTAAAATTGATTTAATATAATTTAATAAATATCAATATATAGTATAAAATTCCTGATATTTTTAATTTTTCTATAATTATTATGTTTGTGTATTTATAAAAAATGAATTATTTTTTAATCAAGATTTAAATTTTATTACTAGACTTCTAAATGTGTGTTGTTTAATTTTTAAAACATTATGAGAATTTTATTTTTTTTAATTTTAGAATATTTTAATTAATTTATAATGTTTAATTTTATTTTTATTATTTTTATTTTTTTTGAAAAAGGGCTTACGGGCCCGGCCCTAAGCCCTTCACATAAGGGCCGGGCTTGAAAAATGGAATTTAAAATAAGAAACCGGGCTTTAGGGCTCAAGCCCTTAAGAGCCGGGCCCGCCTGTATTCCCAACTCTACCCTTGTGTATCCCACATCCGCATGATAATGATTTTTAACTTTATATATACTACTATTTTGTCACGTTAATTGGGAGTCCAGTACCTCCCAAGCTGCGTCAACGTCTATCTTTGTCTATTTTCATCTCATAAATAAGTGTGACTCTTCTCTCTTCTCTGCTCTGCTTCACAAACAATGAGCTCCAATCTCCGAGTTCTCATAAAGCTCAATCTGGATGTCCGAATCTTCTGCTTTCCCTTCTCCTTCTTGCCACCACTTCAGTCTTCATCTTCCTCCCACAAATGGCTTTCGCTGCCACACCCAAGCTCAGCATCGATGAAGGTAAACGAACACCCAATTGTTTACCATGTACTTCACCTGTTTGATTTTTTGCTTCTATCAGAATCTCTATTGAAAAATGAAAGATTGATTACTTTTGCTTCCGCTTCTTTATCTTCTATCATCTTTGTTGATTCTTTCGGGTTCCTTTTATCAAAAGATCGTGAACACTTTGTTGCCAATCTCAGGTTTCTAGACAGAAGAAACAACATTAGATATTGATTTGGTTTCGGCTTCTCCATCTCTTTATTAATGTTGACTGAGTTGGGGTTTGTCTTTCTTGTTGGGTTTGATGAATGAGCCAATCTAGTTTTTGAATTATGCAGTGAAGGCATTGAAGGAGATAGGGAAGAAGCTGGGGAAGAAGGAGTGGGACTTTGGGGTAGATCCCTGCAGCGGAAGAGGTAGATGGAATGTGTCAGATGGTTGGAAAGGCTTTGCCAGCTCTGTCATCTGTGATTGCTCCTTCAATAACAACTCATCTTGTCATGTTGTACGTATGTACTGCTCTCTCTCTTTCTTTCCCCCCTCTCACTCTCAGTCTTAGACTCTCAGTTTATTTCTATTATTTTCTTTTCTTGGATAGTTGAGAATTTTTCTTACTGTTCATGCATTTAAGACTGGGCAGAATGAAAATGTTCATGGATTTTAGAGTTATGTTTAGTTACCTTCGTTTTATATTTAAAAAGAATATTTAAAAAGAATCTTTGAAAATTTAAAAATGTAAAAATTATTTGTTTTTTTTGAATTATTTTCAAAGTCAATTTAAAAAGCATATTTAAAAAATTTTAAAAAGTATATTCTTTAAATTTAACTTCAGATAGTTTTAGTTTGCATAATTCTATCATCAACTAATTCTTACTCTCCTTTTTTTACTCAATTATTACTATAATCTAGACAATTTTTAATTTACTAAACAAACTTTTTTAAAAAATTATTTAAATATAAATTTTGTTATAATAACTGATTTTTATCAAATTAATTTTTACCAAATGAAGTTTCAATCAACAAACTTTTGATTAAAGATCAAACACACTTAATTTCTCATAGACTAATAAAATGAGTCAACTAGTACACTTACAAGAATTAATATGTTGAATAGATTAAACTTATTTTGAAATAACTTAATTTTTTAATTTTAAAATTATAAAAAGTTGAATCTTTATAATCACTTAATTATTTTGGTTATATAATTATTTTTTTTTCAAAGGTCAAAACTATAAATTATATCATATTTTTATATTATTCTATACATTTTTAATGTTGGGAAAAAATTCAGCACATAAAATTAATATATATATATATATAATTATAATTTATTCAACTATAATCTAACTATGATTAAATTGATTAATTATAAACTAACTTTTTTTTTTGCTGATTCAATAACCAATTCAATTTTAAAAATTTCATTTTCTATCCATTATATATATATATATATTTTGCTCACTCTCTAAAATATACTTCTTATACACTTTGATTGAGATTTAAATTGGGGGGATAATTAACCTTTCATCAATATCAATATTTAAAGAGGAAAGCTAAAATAATAATAGGAAAAAACGCAAGGCACAGTTTCACGTGGAATCACGCGTAGACCAGAGCTAGAAGAAGACAGTTTTTCTTTTTCTTCTTTTTTTCCAGCCATAGTTAATGGAGATCTTCACCTGTCTGGGATGTTAATTACAGTTACTTGTAGTTTTCAAATTTTCATCAAGTCTTCTCGTGCCCCTCCTACTGAAAAGCTCTCTTTCTTTCTCTTTTCTTTTAGTTGGAAATATTAAAATATGAAAATTTAATTAATGGAATGTTAGCGTTACGCCTGTACTTTTTTAATTTTATTCTTTGACCATGAACCTATATTTATGCAGTCATGCATTGAAAAACTTTTAAAAAACCATGATTATTGATTAAGATTATTTTATATTTTCTCTACTTATAGTATATACTATATAATTATTTTGTGGCTATGAAGAATTTCAATGATATTTTTTTTTGCCAAATTTCAATGATAAATTTAGCCGTTATTTTATGACTAAAATGATAGTGTGACAGGCATTAATTTCATTTGTTGGGATAACATAGGTCAGGGCCACACGGATGTGCTAATGAATCCTGCTTTCGAGTTTGGGTAGATGAAGGCCCTGTTTATGGAGGCTGAACTTTAATTTTGATTCCATAAAGTATGTTTAGTCAAAATGTGATTTACATGGTTCTCTTCTTGTATCTAGACAAAAACAGGTTAAATACTTTGCCCTCCAACAAATGTGTAATGTTTTATTTTATCATTAAATTAAAAACAAGGATTCCAATTGGTCAAAGAAACCGTGGATTGGTTTCTTTCTTGTCCTGACCGTGATTTGTCATTAAAAACTGTCGGCTCTAACGTGTCTAAGTTTGAAGTTAACTAGCTGGTCAAAGCAAGAATAACCAATGAACGGTGAGCAAATTTTTAGGAAAAATCACATTCTCCAAACGTTACTGACATTTTTACATGAAAGATAACAAAAATCATATATATATATATATATAAATATATATTAAGATTAAATCTATTCCATATTTAAAGAGATTTCAAAAGACAGCCTGAAGTTTGACTCTTCGTATGTGTTTCCTCTCAGTGGCCAAAAAAAGAAAAAAGAAAAGAGGACGAAGTAACTTCTCTACTTTGTCCAAAAAAAAAAAAAAATCTCCTGTTAGTAATGAGTGAACAATGTTGCCAACTGAAAAAAAAAAAAAAAATTCTAGGTTTCTATAATCTTTGAAAGATACAGCTAGAGTTGATACTTCATTTTCACGTTCAGATTCTCTCTGATTCTCCTATCATGGCCTGATATTGCTAGTTAACAGTACTTTGTGATGTGTCTCGTATTCTACGATACACAGAGCACTAGTACCTCGTGGAGAGAAGGTGTAGGAGAGCAGCTGAACTCTTCATTTTAGTTATTATTATTACGAACCACTTCGCAGTGTTCACACTACACATTTTTGGATTTTAGAAAATTCCATGATTTTTGAATTGTAAAAAGATTCCAGGTGTTAATGTTCAGCCCACCAAAAAGGGTTGGAATCAGATTTGGGGTTCCCAAGATTCACTCTCATCTGCTTGTCGTTCTGTTTCTCTTTATATATTTAATCATAATAAAAAAAAAAGCCGAGATTTGAATTGAGAAATACTTTTGTGACAAAAAAGAATGGATTCATGTTTTAAGATAATCATATAATCGAAACATAAAATACATTCATGGCCTAAGGTATATGTGAACAAATATTTTAAAGCTGCTAGGACAGGTCAATTGTCAGGCAGCAATTTAATCATGAAAATTCATAATTGAAATTACTTTGTCTTAGTCTTTTCTGTCTTTTTTGAAGTTCTCATAATTTGGAATTGACCTTTCCTATTTTGTAAGTTACCGTATGCAGTTTGTTTAATACGAAACAGGTTGCAATCAATGTGTTGTATTCTTGAAATTTAACACACATTAGCAACCCAGATTATGAACCTTTATCTCACAAGACGTTCTTGCCCAACATTGGTTCTAAATTTTACTTTATTTCACATTCTATATCTGCAGATTTTTGAAGGCTCAGAATCTTTCTGGTATTCTTCCACCAGAGTTTTCAAAGCTTCAGCATCTCAAGAGATTGTGAGATAAACCAATCCTCGCTTGCGAAACTTATAAATGATTCTTTGTTACTTTGGTGTCTCTGTCACAATGCCATCTTTATATTCGAAATGGATTGTTCAAGCTTCCTAATCTTTGCTGCACCTTCTTTCACACAGGGACCTTAGTCGTAACATCTTGACTGGTTCTGTCCCTCAGCAATGGGCTACCATGCAGTTGGATGAGCTGTAAGAACCTTTCTCTGTGCTCTCTCTTCTTCCACTGTATTTCTCTTAAATGGCTTATGTATAAGTAAATCAACTTCAGTTTATCAGTTTTTGTCAATGAATATGCAGCTCTCTTATGGGGAACAAGTTATCAGGTCCTTTTCCTAAAGTTCTCACCAATATCACAACCCTCAGAAACCTGTATGTTGAGAACCATCTTCTATTTCCCTCAGTTTTGTTTATTTGCAGTTTTGCAAGTACACCATTTTAGATATCTTATACCAATTGAATAGCTAACCCGCATTTATTCATTATTAATTAAGCTGAAGCCTTTTCTTCCATCTGAATTTTTTCTTTTCTAGACAGAGTCTTTGCTGCTACCTAGGGTCAGCCTGGCATAGCTGCTACAGTGTTGCTAGTTTAGTGTTGTTACAAATTGTTTCTGTTTCCTTATTTGAAGAAAGTATCTGTGTATATGTTACAGGAGTATTGAAGGAAATCAATTTTCAGGCCCCATTCCTCCAGAGATTGGAAAGTTTGTCAACTTAGAAAAAATGTAATTCCTTTAAACCTTTACTTAGACGATGCCAATGCTATTTTTTCCCCTGACTTATCATTCTCTACTGTTAATAACATGGACAATATAATGTGTTTTAGCATTCTGTCATCAAATGCATTCACAGGAGAATTGCCGGTGGGGCTTGCAAAGTTGACCAAGTTGATTGATTTGTAAGTCTTTGCTTCTTTATCAAAACTAGATCATGAGGCCAATGTCTTGCGTGGAGTTAAGAATTAAATGGCCATGGCTTATAAATATTGCAATTTTTTTAGATTCTTATATGATATATTGATCATTAATTTTTAATCCATATTATGTAAGCTACTCAGCTAATGAAACTTATATTCTTAGTGGATAAATAAGCAACAATGACAAACACTGACAACCACTCATACATGCACACATATTTAATATAGGATCCATTTGCTCGTCAATGTGAATTGCAGAAGGATCCTAGGTTAATTGATGATCACTTGCTTCCAATCAATGAGCAAAATAGAAATTACATTTTCTCATCCAATTTCTTTGGGTTAATTTATTGTCCAATTGTGGCAGTTCCTAGCTTGCTTTCTAACTTTTCAAACTACATTTCTAGGAGGATTAGTGACAATATTTTCTCTGGAGGATACCAGATTTCATTAGCAAATTGACGTCGATTGAAAAGCTGTAAGATTCTATCATGCGAGTTTTTTTTTACTCCAATATTTTTTGTAGTTTATTTTTCATATCATACTTCTTTTTACAGGCATATTGAGGGGTTGCTCACTTGAGGGACCCATCCCTTCCAGCATTTCTGCCTTGAGAAGATTGAGTGATTTGTATGAAAATGTAATTCTTCATTTTTGTTTGTCATAGAAGATGAATATATTGAGTAACTGTTTTGCTCTTCAATTTTTAGGAGGATAACTGACCTGAAAGGTAGAGGCTCATCTTTCCCATCATTGGGTCACATGAAATCAATAAGGACCCTGTAAGCTCAGCTTAAATATTTTCTCTTATATAATTCTTTCAAAAGTAACTATATTTTATTTTGACTTGGTGTTATAATGCAGCATACTGAGGAAATGCTTGATTAAAGGAGAGATCCCCGAGTACATTGGGAAAATGAACAAACTGAAAGTCTTGTAAGTAGTTCAACAAATGGCTTTCAAGACTCAGGATTTTAAATAGTTTACTCATTTTTCACGATTTCTTCTGGGTGTTAAGATATCACAAGATCAAAAATGGACGAAAAGTCCAAACAGGCATGCTTTTTTTCAATAAATTTCGCTTGAAAAGTTTGTTATTAGGGCTTCTCTTTGTACTTTTTTTAATGAAAAGAATTAATCTCTTCTGCAATAAAGACAATTGTAAACACATGCAAATTTCATAGTGATGAATAGAGATTTCATAGCATGAACATGAATAAGCTGATCTTACATCTGTTTTGTGGACTCTTTTGTGATGATATAACTTGTTTGGTTTATTTTTCATCCTTAAGTTAATGCTTATTTATGATTTCTGTAGAGACTTGGGTTTCAATGAGTTGACTGGAAGGATACCTGCCTCTTTTGCCCAATTCGATAAAGCAGACTTCATGTAAGTGGATCGAATGGGTAAAATGTCTTGTCAAACATCTCATTCCCATTTCAAATAAAACAAAACTACCTTGTTAATGTAGGTACCTCACTGGGAACAAACTAACAGGGACTATACCTAGCTGGGTTCTTGGAAAAAGTACAAATGTGTATGTTAACTAATTGTGTTTTGCACTTCTCTATAACATCTTAATCTTGTCTTCAATGAACAAAGTGAACACATCAGTCAGAAACAAATTTTGCCTTAGTTTTGATCTTCTTGCAGTTGGGTTTCTTTATAGATCTTCTTGGGGAACGTTAAACTATTGATGATATAAACAATTTTCTATATATTTTGTGCTGCAGTGATGTTTCTGACAATAACTTTAGCTGGGAGAGCTCAAGTCCGGTTGAATGTCCAAGAGGGACTGTGTGAGTTTCACTCATGCTGTGATTTCTGTTTATCCTGCAGTGCTTATAAGTCTATAACAGTGACAAATTTTCGATTATTTTTCCAGAAATTTAGTGGAGAGCTACTCTTTTTCTGTGGATAAACAGTAAGGCTTTTATGCTTGGAATATTGAGTCTCACCCTTTACATTCTTTAATCAAGGAATTCTCCACCAGCCATGCATTCTTTAATCGTAGCTTTGAATTTTACATTCAAGACATGATCTTAAATTTCATTCCTTGTTGCAGAAAAAATGTTCACGCATGCTTGAAAAAGGACTTTCCATGCTCTGATTCAGACAGCCAATGTATGTAATCATACTTTATGGTTTTCAGGTAGTTTTATCTGCGCGGATACTTCTCGATAATGATTCATGCTATGGAACTTGCAATTTAGTTTTCTTTTTTCTTTTTTCTTTTTAAATACTTGATGAGAAGTCTCCAGCTGAAGGTAACTACATAACGAGAAAGGACTAGAGTGGTAAAGAAGTCCTATTTCATGATTTTGCTTAATTAGTGAAGGGTCCTTCAGTGGTCTGAGAGACAGAAATGAAAGAGATGATGATCGGATAGAAACCTTCTTTCCTGATAGATCGAATATAGTTGAACCTGTTCTTGGTTGGTTTTTCTATATGGGGTGTCTTCTTTGGAGATGGAGGATTTACACACAATTTTTATAACTACTTCACTTTAACACGAATAATTAGTGAAGGGTCCTTCAGTGGTCAGAGAGACAGAAAGGAGAGAGATGATGATAGGACAGAAACCCCCTCCCTCTAATAGTTCGTATGTTATTGAATTGATTCTTGGTTGATTTTTCTATATATGGAGTCTCCTTTGGAAATGGAATATTTACAGATAAATCTCTTAGAAACTCAAAGCAGGAGGATGATACGGTAATCTTTATGTTAGAATGATGTAATGTCTTTGCTGAAGCTTTTAACTCATTAGTCGCTTGGTACTCGCAATGTTTTACAAACTTTCGGAGTATAGGAAGTATCGAGCAGATGACAGCAAGATTCCAATGAAAATCATTTATGTTTGTTTTGAATTTTTATTATTTATGAAGATTTGTTTCTGCCAACCCTGGTTTATTTTGTTTTTTCAACAGATTACTCCTTGCACATTAATTGTGGTGGAAAGGAAGCAAATATCAATGGTACTATTTATGAAAGGGACAAAGAACAAAGAGGCGCTTCAATGTTTTACTCTGGTCGGAATTGGGCTCTCAGAAGCACTGGGAACTTCATGGACAATGATATTGAATCTGATCCCTATATTGTGACCAACACATCCAAACTTCTGAGTGCTTCTGCTCCCAGTTCAGAACTGTACACGACAGCTCGTTTGTCTCCCCTTTCTCTCACATACTATGGACTCTGTCTAATGCATGGAAACTACACTATTAAGCTCCACTTTGCAGAGATTATGTTTATCAACGGCAGATCATTTTACAGTCTTGGGAGGCGTGTATTCAATGTCTACATCCAGGTATCTGTTGTCTATGCGATTCACAAATGTTAAACAACTGAATTCCACAGAATTGTGTATTTATGTGGATGGAATGTGTTAAATGAAGGGGAAGTTGGTCCTAAAGGATTTTAACATTGAGAAAGAAGCTGGTGGGACTGGAAAGCCAATTGTGAAGATATTCAACGCTACAGTCACAAAACATACTTTGAAAATTCACTTTTACTACGCTGGAAAGGGGACAACTGGCATACCCACAAGAGGAATTTATGGACCTCTGATATCCGCCATATCAGTAGATCCTAGCAATCAGTATAATGTTTTAAATCTTTATGATAGTGTTTTTCTATGCTTGACAGAGTCCCTAACTATGGCTTTAGATTGAAGATACTGAACCAAGATATATGCAATGACAGCTTCTAAACGTGTATATATTAATTAAATAAATAACATGACATCAAGAGCTCCATGATAATTCTCAAATTTTATGCTGTAAAAAGATTATAATTGTAAAAAAAGAACAATCATATCAATATATATCCAGATCTCAAACTAGCCATGGATTGACTGAAGACAGAACTATATGAAAGTGAAAAGAAATATGATAGAATTGCAAGAAGAGTATAAAATTTACTCCTAAGATCTTTGTTCTTGCCTACAGTTTGCTATTTCTTTGATTTCCCAAATTGCTAGACAAATGACAGATCACGTACATCATCTCCCAGCTTTATGTCTTGAATTGAATGATCATCCTTGGCATCCATTTGAGTTGGGATCTTAATCCTTCCATGTCTAGTAATTGCATAAGAAAAGATAAATACGTAGGCAAAGGGAAAAGATTGAATTTTATGCTTTTGCTTCCCATGAAAGTTACAAGTATTTCTTTTGTGCACATTTTACCCCTCCATCACCGGGGATTGGAAAGAGAACGTTTATTATAGTGGCATTTGCCATATTAGCTGCTTTTCTGCTTCTTCTTCTGATGCTCCTAGGTATCATGAGGTGGGAGGGCTGGCTAGGAGGCAAAGGCTCCGTGTATAAAGTTATGGATATATCATCACCATGCTCTGCCGAAACGTAATTAATAAAACTGTTTGATTTGGCTTTCTTTTTCGCAAAAAAAAAAAAAAAAAAAACAGGACCTGGTATTACTAAGTAATACGGATTTAACTTGGGCTGGGTTCCAATTGGGAGAAACTCGCCCAATGTAACCTTTTAATTCACAAGTTTCAAACTTGAGATCATGTTTGAGAGGTGTTGAATATTTTACAACCAAACTGAGCTGCCATTGGTTGCCTTGGCATATTTTAGTAGAGCAAACTTCATTCTGATATGAAATAAAATGGAATACGGTACCATATGATATGGATGAAGTTATAAGCTTTCTTTGCTGACTTTCAAATTTGCACTTCCTCCCAGAGCTCAGAGGTATAGATCTGCAGACAGGATTATTCCATTAAGACAAATCAAAACAGCAACCAAAAACTTCGGTGCTGCTAACAAAATTGGAGAAGGCGGCTTTGGTTCTGTTTTCAAGGTATTTAAATCTTCCTCCTGCCTATATTCTTGATTACCAAGTTTGTACCATATAGTCAAGTTTTGATGTTTCTTGATCTGAGAAACTAAATGTGCATAATGAGATATCTATATCTCCATATGACTTAAAAGTAAAAGTTTTTCTATACAAAGAATTCCAGATTTGTTCCATGCACTGCACATATTGGTTAGCAAGCCCTTGGCGCTTTAAGGAAAGAGCAAAATCATGAACATGCATTAGGCCCATCTGAGTTCTGTTAATCCTTATTTTCATGTTTAGAATGCTAATAAGCAAACATATATATATATATATATCCACTGTTACTGATGCAGGGTCTACTATCCGATGGCACTGTGATTGCAGTGAAGCAACTTTCCTCAAAATCTAAGCAAGGAAACCGTGAGTTTGTGAATGAGAGAGGAATGATATCTGGACTTCAACATCCCAATCTTGTAAAGCTTTATGGATGTTGTGCGGAAGGGAACCAGTTGATACTGATATATGAGTACATGGAAAACAACTGTTTATCACGTGCACTTTTTGGTTAGCTTCATACTCAGCCTCCCTAACTATTGCTTGCTACCTGAATCAAAATTATGGTCAAGTCAAATAACTAATTAATCATCCTCTCCCAATCACGTTATATGCAGGAAAAGACCTGGCCTGCAAAGCAAAACTGGACTGGACGACCAGGAAGAAAATTTGCCTTGGTATAGCTAGAGCTTTGGCTTATCTGCATGAAGAGTCCAGAATAAAAATCATACATAGGGATATAAAGACTAGTAATGTGTTGCTAGATAAAGATTTTAGTGCTAAGGTTTCAGATTTTGGTTTGGCAAAACTTAATGAAGATGATAATACCCATATCAGCACTCGAGTCGCAGGAACCATGTAAGTTTATCACGTACTAATACATGTTTCTTGTTTTCTGGTCAAAATATGTCGTTGCCATCATCATATGTAGTTTGGTGCAAAGATTCACTCCTTGTTTACAATAGCAACTGAAAGACTAAGATCAAAATGACATCATCCATTACCAATGATCAGTTGATCACATTGTCCACCTACTCTCTTTTGATTGTTTTATCATGATTTATACTTACAGATTTTTGTTGATACTATTTTGTAGTGGTTACATGGCTCCTGAATATGCAATGCGTGGCTATTTAACTAACAAAGCAGATGTTTATAGTTTTGGGGTTGTTATATTGGAAACTATTAGTGGAAAGAGCAATACAAATTACAGACCAAATGAAGAATTCGTTTACCTTCTTGATTGGGTAAATCATAATTTATTTGAAACTTCTTTTGTTCCTTCCTTAGAGACGTTTCTTTTACTCTTTGATTTTTGAGGCAGCTTATTGCCGTGAACAGAAAACACTGCCAATCGTCATGCATTCTAATTATGACTTCCTTACATTACTGCTACCATCATCATGCATTCTAATTTCAACATCTCAAACAACTAGCTTCGAAATTCATCTATCCAATCCTTCCCCTTGATTAGCGAAACACTGTTATCAGATTCAGTGATATGCCACCTTTTGGGGATACCGTTTATTAACATGTTAGATTGACTGAATTTTGAAATGTGAGGGGTCAAGATAAAATAGAACTTAACTCAGTGATCAACTTGAGAATTGGTGAATCTATAAAGGACCCAATGATGATTTTAGTTGAAACCAGATTTTTGTCAGATAGTTAAACTGCTTCTTTTCCTTGCCATATTATTATTTTCATTCTGGTTTAGTTTAGAGTAAAACATGACTCCTGTTGCCAAATTACATCAAAATTGAAATCTGACGTTCTTTTATCAAATAAAAGTCCCTGTCCTCAAACTCAAGCTTCTTTCAGGCATATGTTTTGCAAGAGAGAGGAAATCTACTGGAGCTGATTGATCCAGACTTGGGATCAGACTATTCAACTGAGGAGGCCATGGTTATGCTAAATGTGGCTCTCTTGTGTACCAATGCATCCCCCACACTTAGGCCAAAAATGTCCCAAGTTGTGAGCATGCTTGAAGGCCAAACAGATATTCAGGATTTGCTTTCTGACCCTGGATACTCTGCAAGTAGTTCCAAGCACAGGTCCATACGAAATCATTTCTGGCAGAACCCAGATACTGATTCCTCTAGTTCATATCTTGGGACTGAGGAAAGCTACCGTCTTGTACAAGTTAACTCATATATCAGGTAAGTGAGAGAGTCCTACAATTTCGTTTACATAGTAACCAGTGTGATCCTTGATGTGATTTTGTTATATTTTTGTAACCATCTAATCCTCCCCCAAAGAAAACGGAGGATATTAGAAATGTGTAAGTTTTTCTAAACAATGCCACAGCATGGCATAGGATTGTTCTAAGTCAGTTACATATTCTATTAACAAACAAGTGAATGTTGACCATAAAAAATTGTAACTTTAATATGGTGTAACTTTCTTTGAATAAATAGCATATTTTATAGTTATGCAATTATATTATTAGAAAAGAATGACACAAACAATGTGAAGTTAAATTTTCCCTTAACACATTTACCCTTTTTTTCTAAATTCTTTCTCTGAATGCATAGAATATTAATTTTGTAATTCTGTTTCTACTTTCGATCATATCAAATATAATCTGTAGGTTCTTTTGTCTTTCAATTGATTCAATAACATCATTCTAAATTTTTACGAAATGGGAAAAAATGATAAATTTGAGCGTCGATTAGATTTATTCTTCCAAAAAATAATAAACTGCACTTATTTAATGGATTGAACTCATTTCATCTCATAATTTCTCTCGTCAACAAAACAAAAATTATTTTTTAAATTATAGGTTCAACAGATTATAATGTAAATTTAATTTAATTAGAATAAAAATAAAGATAAATGAGCAAATTGTTCCCAAATAACTATTTATTGTGTAAATTATTTTCTTAATTTTTAAAATTGGTGCAATCTGGTTCTATCATTAATAAAAGTTAACTTTAATTATTAGTTAATATAAAAATTATAGACAAAAACTCAAAAAATTACAAAAATTTTTTGGTCTTTTTCTGTAATTGTTGGGTTATTTACTGTAATTTTTTGGTTGTCTTCTACTCTTCTATAATTTTTGAATTTTTTTTTTTGTCATTTTATTGTTATATCAAAATTAACTTTTGTTAATAACAAGTACTATATTATACTATTTTAAAAATTTAAAAAAATAATTTACATAATAAATAAGTTTAAGATTTATGGTACTGTCATATCTAAAGTTGAGATAATTTGCCTACTAACCCTAAAAATAAATAATACTTGCAAGACTAGACACGTGTAATTATCCCATCATATGTGTTTTGACTGATAAATATAAAGAGTGCTGAATTCGAAGGCCAATAACGGGGTGTTGGGAAAGGAGCATATGAGGGTTGATATTAAATGGCATTCTCCTCTTGTTGGCTGGGTCAAATAAAATTTTGATGCTGCTAATAAAAAAGGTTTGGCAATGTTTGGCTTTGGGGGGCTGCTTAGAGATGAAAAGAGTGGGTGGCTGAAGGGTTTTGTCAAGAAACTTGGGGCTCGTTCTGCTATTCACGCAGAAGTGCAAAACTGTGGGGTGTTTTCTGGGGATTGAGATTGGCTACTGAGATGGGTTTTAAGAAGATCATTGTGGAAGGGGATTCAACTTCTGTTATTAGCATGTTGAAGGATCTGGAAGATACAGGGGAGGCTTTTAGCTCCTTGTTGCTGTTGATTCAGAAAGAAATTGTTGCTGATTGTCAACTCTACTTCCAACATAACTACAGGGAGTGTTGATTGGTTAGTTAATTACAGTTTTAACTTTGATTTTGAGGGCTTGTTTTTTGTCTGAGCCTCCAACTGATTTACGTTCACTCCTGTACAGTGACAGCTTGTGAGTTTCTTAACCAGGGACGGATCTAGAGTTTTATTGTTGGGGTGACCAACTGAAAATAAAATAAGAAATGAGGGGCCATAATCAAGTTTACACTATTTGATAAATAAAAAGATAAAATTTTTACTAAAGCTGTGTGGGGGCAAGAACACCTCCTTGGCTCCTGTAGATCCTTCTCTGTTCTTATTACCCCACAGAAATTTTGGTGAATGAATAACACAGGCGTTTGCCTTTCCTATTATCAAATGCACACACACACACACATAAAGAGGGAAAAAAGAAAGTTGGGTGACCTAGACAGAGAATAAAGGCGAGTTGTCTAGGTTGTTAATTTTGTTAAGCAAGCAATGAATGTTTTATTTAACAAGTGAACATGATGATTATTTGCTTGGCAACTAAGAAATTGAGATAATTAATCATCTCATTGTCTAAGCGCTTTTGTTCAGAATAGTTCTCTTGACAGATGATCTGATTATTTAACCTTTGTCTGTTAAAAGTAAATAAGTAATAGGGTACTATATTTCAATACATTGTTGTGGACGTTTTTTTCCTTATGTTCTTAAATTTAAAGACTTTTGTATAATCAAATCACGTAAAATATTGAATAAAAACGTCCAATGGAGTATTATATCGATATAACAAATGAATTTGGTTGATTGAGATTACTTCAGAATTTAAAATTGATCCTGCCAATTTGTTTGAAGAAACGTGTTCTTTTAATCTTAAAAAAGGGTTGGTAAAAAAAAAATCTTAAAAAGGGTGGAAATTTTTCAAAATATGTAAATATGATAAAAATTAAGGAAAATAGCATCCAAGAACCCTCATGTGAAATTTATATTAGAGAAGGATCAAATGATTTGCTTTTATCACTGTAGTCTTCTGGTCCTTCTAACATATTAATTTCATATGTGAAGAGACCAAAATGCCTTTATAGTTAAAAAACAAAAAAAAAAAAAAGGAAACCCTTACCGTCACCGACCATTGGAGCTTCGGTGTCGATGACATTTTATTTCAAAACTAAGGTTTTTAGGTGATCAAGGATGGGTTTGATCTCATCACTCTTAGCCACTTAAAAAGCTTGGCAAGCAGCTAAGCCCTTTAATATATATATAAATATATATATATGGCAAAAAAAAATTATAAGTAATAAACCAAACACAAAACCAGTTTCATGTAATAATCTAATGTGTATTGTTAATTTATAAATGAAACTTGTTATTTTACGAATGTCACTTGTTAATATGATATGGACAATTACAAATTGGGAGTTTCAAAATTTCATTCATTTTACTTGTTAAATGTCCAAATGTCTTATTGTCAATTACGAATAGGTTGTTGTCAAAATTAAATGAATACTTATTAGTGAATGAATAACACGCACACCTAAACCCTTCCCATCATTTTTTCTAACTTGTTAAAACCATAATAGATTCTTGTTAATTTCAAATTAATTGTTGTTATTTTATGAATGTCACTTGTTAATCTAACATAGATAATTACAAATTGGAGGCTTTAAAACTTCACTCATTTTACTTGTTAAACATCTCAATATCTTCTTGTCAATCACGGATAGATTGTTGTCAAAATCAAACGGATACTTGTCAATGAATGACTAACACGCACAACTAAACCTTTTTTATTATTTTTTTAACTTGTTAAAACCATAATAAATTTTTATTAATTTTAAATTAATTGTTATTATTTTACGAATGTCACATATTAATTTAACATGGACAATTATAAATTAATGGCTTCAAAACTTCACTCATTTTACTTGTTAAACGTCCCAATATTTTATTGTCAATAACGAATAGGTTATTGTCAAAATTAAATGGATACCTATTAGAAAAATGATAGGAAGGGTTTAGTTGTGCGTGTTAGTCATTCACTGACAAGTATCCATTTGATTTTGACAATAATCTATCCGTGATTGACAACAAGACATAGGGATGTTTAACAAGTAAAATAAATGAAGTTTTGAAACCCTAATTTGTAATTGTTTATATCAGATTAACAAGTGATATTTGTAAAATAACAACAATTAATTTGAAATTAACAAGAATCTATTATGATTTTAACAGGTTAAAAAATGATAGGAATGATCTAGTTGTGCATGTTAGTCATTCACTAATAAATATCTATTTGATTTTGACAACAACGTATCCGTGATTGACAATAAGACATTGGGACGTTTAACAAGTAAAATAAGTGAAGTTTTGAAATTTTCAATTTGTAATTGTCCATGTTAAATTAATTAGTGATATTCATAAAATAACAAGTTCCATTTAGAAATTAATAATACACATTAGGTTATTACATGAAAGTGATTTTGTACTTGGTTTACTATTTATAATTTTTTTTGCCACACACACATATATATATTAAAGGGTTTGATGGCCTACCAAGCTTTTTAGGTGGTTAAGGGTCTTGAGATTAAACTCACCCTTGGCTACATAAAAACTTCAATTTTGAAATAAAATGTTGTCGGTGCCAGAGCTTCGGCGACCAACTGCCAACAACCCTGCCGGCATCAGGGGCTCTAGCGACTTTGCCTCCGGCAATGGTTCGACGGTTGGCGCCGGCGATGATAAGGGTTTCTTGTTTTTTTTTTTGTTTTTTAACTATAAGGGCATTTTAGTTTTTTTGCATTTAAAATTAATATGTCAGAAAGACCAGAAGACTATAATAATAAAAACAAATCATTTGATCCTTCTCTAATATACATTCCGTACTTGGATGCTATTTCCCTTAAAAATTATACGAAAAAAATTTATGGGGAGACAAAAATGAGATATTATTATTAGTAATTATAAACAAAAGTAACATAATTTTTAATTCAAAATTAAGTCAATTACAAAAAAGAATGATTAATTAATTTTTTGGACAAAAGCCGAGGATATAGGGATAGCTAAAGTGAAAGCAATTCATCGGTAGGACAAGTGATTGGGCACCAGAACCAGAAGTCACCACGAGACTGGTTCGAATTTCCGGTTTGCTTTCACCTGTTCACACGCCGTTCACAAATTCTCTGCTTTCTTTGTTCTTCCCTCGTCTCTGTTGCTTACAGATCCCATACATTCATTCTCTTTCCTTCCAATTTCTGGCACTTTGGGCAACAATGGCGGCGATCGTGGTCCAACAATTAGCTCACTGTATCACTTGCCATGCTTGGAGCCCTGACAAATCCAGTAATATAACGCTCCCATCACCTTTTTCGGTTTCGATTTCCCTGTTTGAGTGCTGAAAAAATGTGCCTGTTGGGCTGTTTTGTGATTATGATTTTCAAGATATGGAACTGCATTTATTTGTTCTGATAGTTTTGGAAAAGTTACTTTTGGATGAATAGATGTGGTTGTTTCAGTGGAAGGTTTTGTTCCCAGGTTATTCCCCCTTTGATCTGTTGGAGTCGACTTCAAGTTAAAATTGCAATTTTCTTCTATTATATATGCAGTTTGGATTTAGATTCCTAAGATATAGAAATAACTTGCGAGGTACTTCGCTTTGCCTTCTTTGCAGAGATATGCAGTTTGGGTTAAACGTTGTTAACCTTACTTCTTTTCTTGCAATCTTTTGGTCAATTTGAGTAGGCAACTGTTGGTCCTCTGGTGGCTATTCCAATTTGTTAGTGAATCTTATTTGAACATTTTACACAGCGATGCTGGATTAATGCAGGAACTTGCTAGCTAAAAGCTTATAGAATTAGAATATTTCAAGCTGTGTCTATATTATCATGGGAAGGGAAATTGTAATCTGCGTTGTATCTTGACTTTTCTTTAGTAGACATTAGGCATCCAAATCGCATGATAAGATGGGAGGGTACTAATAACATTTTATGGATGTTTATTTGACAAACAGAAAAACTATCATGAGAAGAGAGAATAATGCAAAACAAGAGAAATGACTAGAGGAGAGATCATCCCTGACTAAAAGAAAAAAGGAGAGATAAAAATGGGACTCTTTAATAATCAAACAGTAAGGAGTTCAATACAAAACAATGCAGAACTTACGGGTATGCTTGGACATTTACCAGAGATGTTTAAAATGGCAAAGGAGACACTTTTGATGAGTTTAATAGGCCATGGTCATTTGTCGTTAGGGAATGTGATTGCAGCTTTTTGAATATTTGAGTGGTCATAAAATATTTTTATATTTTATTTTATAGTGGTTGCATTTTGTCCCAATAATAATGAAGTGCACATCTACAAATTGTTTGAAGACAAATGGGAAAAGGTGCATACCCTTCAAAAGGTACTATGGTTTTTAGCTTTTCTTATCCTCAATTGCAATGAATTCAAAGCAATTTCACTGGATATGTTTATCCTTAATTTCGAAGTAATTTCATGGATTCTTTTCACAGCATGACCAAATAATTTCTGGGATTGACTGGAGTACAAGAACAAACAGAATAGTGACTGCATCGCATGATCGGAATTCGTGAGTGCCCATATGGTTTAAGTTTGAAACATTGGATAATCTATACCTGGTTAATATTATAATGTAAAGAAGCTTAAGCTTTGAGCTGGTTTTAGCTATTTTTCTTTTAAATTTGCTCACATTTTGATCACATGCTAAAATAAAATCAATATCTATAGATATGTCTGGAACCTTGAAGGATCAGAATGGGTGCCAACTCTTGTCATCCTCAGGCTAAACCGTGCTGCTCTATGTGTTCAGTGGAGTCCGAAAGGTAGGAAGCAAGTTGCATGTTATTTGGAAGATGTAGTTGTTACCATGAACTGTCTCTAGTAAGCCTGATGCTTTGTTGCCAAAAGAGATCTGGCTGTCTCAAAACCTTTTCTAAATTATTTAATTTGAGTTGAAATAACTGCCTCTTTAGCTAAGTGATAAGCAAAGTGAGAACGCTATGTTTTTAGAGACATATCTACATTACCGATTATTTGTTATATGAAAAATTTAATAATAACTATTGTCTTATATTATTTTTTTTAAAAGGTCTAATTGCTATTATTTTTGTTATTATTGTATTTAACTTATTTCTCGGTGCTCTTATAGTGCCACAGATTTTACTGTGGTGACTGCAATTTTCTTGCCTTTTGTGTGTCTATCTCTGTGCTTATGGTTTTATATTCCTCAAAGATATGCATTTATTTATGTGATGAAACTTTTTGCATGGTTTTTTTGTTTGCCATGAATTTGTAGGCATGACTTAATTGTAATTTTAACTATTGTTATTTATATTTTTGTATACAGTGCCATTTCATATTATTTAACTAGATGTTTATGTAATTTTTGATAATATTTGGTCAATTATTTTTAATATCAAAAGAAACTGTTAATCAAGGACTTCCTTTATTGGAAATTCATAATTTAGTACATTTACTAAATTCTGTACTGGCAGAAAACAAGTTTGCGGTTGGTAGTGGGGCCAAAACTGTTTGTGTATGCTACTATGAACAGGAGAACAACTGGTAAGTTACTACCCCCCTCTCTCTGGTGCTTTATTTTGATGTTAATTCACATGCTAGTTCGTATATCAGATAGCTGTGGTTCGTTGAGTTTGCTTGACTTTGTTTATTTAAAAAACTGATGATATACTGATACTCATTGGCTTTTTTGACTAAATTATGTATACATGGGTAATATCATTTATTCGTATATTTTTCATGGGATGGCTACTTTACATGTGCTTTATTTCATCAAGTTCTAGCTAGATCCACTTGGATCTGCTAAGACCATATTTTGAGAAACTCTCAAGGATTTTATTTATTAGAAGTTTTCTTTTATGACAAACCATTACAGTATGATTCTATATGAATCAAGATGGACTGATCAGTACAATATTGCTTTATACGTTATGTTGTAACATTGGAAAGAAAGAAAATTACAAGACAGGAAAATAAACAGTCTCCTAAAAGAGAATGAAGCAAAACAGACACAAGAAAGAATGAAACAGAACAGAACCCAATTCTTATTAATAATAGATTCTCCTTTCACGGTGGGACAAAAGAATATGAAGGAAAATTTGTATTTTTACTTTATGAGGGTGGGATGGATAAAACTTGAGTAGGTCTGTATCTGTTGATTCAAGGTGGCTAGCTTTCATGTTTTTCTTATTCCTACGAATTGTGAGCTCTTGCAGTTTATCTTAGACTTCAAAGCTAGTTGGCTAGTTGGCTAATTATTTTAGTTAACTATCATGTCGGACCTTGAAAAGTTGAAGGATTCAAATGACATCAATTTATTCTCAATTTTGTCCCAAGACAGGAATAAATTGATCCATTTTTTAAAACATTGGGATTCAATTGGTGTGGTAGTATCTTTCAAGGTCCAACATGGTAGTTTCCTCCCCTCGTTCTTGTTTATATTTCCTGGTGTAATGCAAGATTTGTTATTATTTCCAGGAAGCTGCTTGAAAACTAAATTTGTTCTTCATTTGATAAAAATTTGCATCTTCTTGCAGGTGGGTCAGTAAACTTATCCGGAAAAAACATGAATCTTCAGTGACGAGCATTTCTTGGCATCCCAATAATGTTAGAATTCTGCCCATTTCTCATTTATATAAAAGTTTACATGCATAGTAAATGTTACTGGTAAATTGTTGCTTTTCATGCTCTTGTAAGCTAAGTCAGTTATTGAGATGTACTCTCTTGGTATCTCTCTACAACCTTAATCTTATGAGTAAGTTTGTTTTATATCTTGGAAAGATTCTGATGGAAATGAGGGGTGTGTTGAGTTCCATGAGAGTCACTTTTATTTAACTTGCTGAATATAATGTAATGCACTATTAATTCTCCATAACTGCAAGATTAAAATAGATTGAAGAATTACTAGATAAGCTGCGACATTATGAGTTAACTGCTGCTGATGATAAGAAAATTTTGATTATTCATCATAATTTCATCTCTTGTTTGCAGATTCTGCTTGCAACAACATCTACAGATGGAAAATGCCGAGTATTCTCCACCTTAATAAAAGGTGTAGATGCAAAGTATGTTAAATGGAACTCTGGGCATGGTTGGTTAGCTTTCTATGTTTCCCTTTGATGTTTATTACATATTGTTTGACTCTGTTTGATGAATTATGACAGGGATTCAAAAGGGGGCACTTCATCAGATTCAAAGTTTGGAGAGGTTCATTATCAAGTCTTGCGGTGGAATTTATATATATTTCAATGGATACATGTTCAATTGCATCTTTTGGTGGATTAACACTAACATCACAAGATCTTTTAAGCTGAAATCAGCAAAAGATTATTTTATTTCAACTCTGGCTATGGTACTATGAGGGAAGGGATAGTTGATTGAAATCATGGAAAATGAGACAAATTATATATACAATGTCTATTCACTGCTGCCATTATTGAATGGTGTTTGTCCCTTTTTATTACTTCTTTGTGGGCACATAAGGACCATTTTCCATCGTTGTCTCTCAATGCCTAACATTCTGAACACTTTAACATAGCCTAAGAAGTCGTTATGCTCTCTACTTGTATCTAAACTATTTTTTATATGTGATAAGGTATTTGATAGTGTACAGTAAAATGTATTTTTTATTCATAGTATTGAAGATTTGGTTTTCTTATATATGTATATATGTGTTTAACACACTCATTGCATAGAAGAATGCTTTTATGGTTTGTATATATAGTCCTCTAAGCAATGTCCTTAAAGGGCTTTATTTTTGGTTAGGCTTTTCAATAAATGGGCTACTATTTGGCTGGCCGGCCCAGCTCACCGAAGTCCATTTGGGCTAGCTAGTGATATATTGGCTCACCCCACCCTTTCATATGACTTGGCCAGCCTGGGCTCGACAGCACAAACTTGTTTTGACAAACGCTGGGGGGGGGGAGCAAAAACTTTTTTCCTTGTGATTGGAGCAGCATGAGTTGATTGATATTGTTCTTATGCAACAGTTAATAATTCAGCTTGATCTCTCATTATCATGGGCATTTGGCGTCAAATGGTCACCAAGTGGCAATACTTTGGCTTATGTAGGTCAGAAAATTCTCTCCTTTTATGGGGTATACTTTGCCTGGCAGAAAGTAACGTTGTCAGCTATATGCCTTTCTGTTTGGTCGTCGTCTATTTTCTTTTCTTTTCTTTTCTTTTCTTGTTGAAGTTGTTTGTATGATAGAAAACATTTATTATGGTTTAGTTAGCTTCATTATGTAATGAATTTCTAAGGCTTCCTAGGTATACAAAGATTTTATCCATGTATTTCGACCTATTACCTTTTCTAAAAGAAGGTTGGGATGGACGATTCTTTTCATCAAATTCATGTGAGTTTTGAACTTAAAGAACAATTCATGGGTACCATTGGTGCTTTGCCAGAGTTTTATATTAAGTCGACGGGGCAGTTAATATTTTCAGACTGGGTCCTAACATGCAGCATTTATCAAACAAACTGCTTCCCATTGGTCCAGTACACTACTGAATGATTTGCTGTGTGCGTGTACTCACATGTGCACTTGTTCCATTTTATAAGGTCTTTTGGATTTTCATTCTAGCTTATCTGCTTTGTTTATTACGCAGGTCATAATTCTATGATATATTTTGTTGATGATGTTGGCCCTTCTCCTTTGGCCCAAAATGTTGCCTTTCGTGATTTGCCACTCCGTGATGTGGGTCAGCATCCACTCTTTCTAACCTTTCTTAACATCTATTGATTTTATTGACTTTATTCGCTGACGGTTTCTGGAATTGGTGGGTTTTGTATGACATGTTTTTAGGTATTATTTGTCTCTGAAAGAATGGTAATTGGCGTGGGTTTTGATTGTACTCCTATGGTTTTTGCTGCTGATGATAGAGGAATATGGTATTCGATTTTTCTTGGACTTCGTCATTTATAAGAGAAGTTGGCTGTGTTTTATATGCCTCATTTTATTCTTGTTCTTTTTTTCCTATTTTTTTGTCCTTTAGGAGTTTTGTGAGATATCTTGGAGAAAGGAAAGCAATATCATCTGGATCAAAATATGGATCACAGGTAAGCTACATTTTATTATCTGCCTAACCCACCTAGTGAAAGCTATATCTAATCGGATATCTTGATAGAAGGTCATTTGATTTAACTACTTCAGTTCAGCACGGCATGTTTCTCTTATTTTTACTAACTCTAGTTTTGGTTTCCCCTACTTCTATGTCTATGTTTTGTCTTTCTATTAGTTCTCTGAAGCATTTGGGAAATTTTATGGCCAATCAAAGCATGGAATGAACAACGACTCTGTTGAGAGTTCAAAAATACGTGGAGGCGTTCATGAGAACTGTATAAAGTATTTATCTCATCTCTATCATGACGTACTCATCTTCCCAAACGTGTTTGATGATATTATATAAGTTCTTTCTTAGTTTCACTTCTTTTTCGATCCAAAATGTGGTAATTTGCATTTCACTTGTCCATTATTATTAAGACTATCTATTGGGCTAAGCGGAATTTGAACAACCGAATCCATTTTTAAAACTATTATGAATTCAGTGTATCACCAGTGTCTCTTTCGGACTGTAGTTGTATCATGCCACTTGGAGAGCGTGGAACATTTATCAGGCGTTTCAGCACATCAGGTCAGTCAAACTAATCGCTTGTTTGTTATATGGAAAAATACTTTCTGGAAAGGAAAAGGGAAATGTATCTAGAAAGTAAATGAGATAAAAACATTCTGTTTCCTTTCTAGAAATCATGTTCCCGTATACCAAACGTTTGATGATTTTCGTACAGTTATATCTTTGCCTGTTTAAGCATTGTCTCTTTCTTCTAATGCCTAATCCTTACAACTGTAGGCTTGGATGGAAGAGTGGTAATTTGGGATTTGGAGAACCAGCAAGATTTATTAGACTGCTTGTAAGCTTATGAAGGATGAATGGAGCATTACTTTGTATATGAATTTGGCAGAGAGCAAAAAAACCTGTCTCTACCCGAAAGGCTTTAGCAGGCTTGAGTCCTCAGATTTATTTGCACATGAATCTGTGCCTTATAAGATATTATTTCATTTTCCTTTGGCTTTGTTGTACTCTGGCTAGTGATTTACAAGGAAGAAAATGGCATGAGATATTCTGGTCGAGAAACTTTTGGGTATTATATTCATGGGAGAATTTTCAGTGTTTTGAAACTCAAACCGAGCGTTGAATTGAAAAGAGCAATAAGTCGCGGTTTTCATAATTTAACCAGTTAGACTGACGGTCAAATTGGTGATATAAAAATTAAATAAAAAATAATATTTATATAATATTTATATATATAAATATATAAATAAAACATTAATTTGTTTATGGTGCTTGGAATCTTAATGTTGAAAGCTAGATGTTTAGATCGTTACAGATGGAGATAGAGGCATGTTGGTGCAAATTTGTGATCTTGAAGGAAAATATTGAAGTTGGAGGCACATTGTTATGTCATGACTTATGAGTTTTTGATCTCAATATTAAAGGTTGGATTGTTAGAGTTGAAGGCAAATGTTGGAGGAAAAATCAGAGATTGAGCTTAGATTATGGAGGGGAAATCAAAAATTAGAAAAAAGAAGATGAAAGAGAATTAGAGATTAAATAAAAGAAATTGCCAATTTGAGAAACTAAGCCTAAACTTTTTTTATTATTTTTTTTGGCTTTGAATCGGGTTGACTTGCTCTAATTTTTGAGTCAAAACTGGTTCTTTTAAGAACGGCTGGGTCAACTTAGTTCAAATGCTAAGCTGGTTCAACTAGTTAGATCAAATTGTTTTGTTTAGTGGGTGACAATCAGATTGGTTGGGCTTCGATCCAATTTGGGTTTTACATCATTGAGAATTTCATCTAAGAATCATGGATATGACATATTTTCAAATTAGGCTTAAAATATTTTGAAATTTCATTACAAGATGGTGGGCATGAATTGAAATAAAATGATAAGATAAAATGACCAAAATACCCTATAGTATGTTGCAGCGTTACAAGTAATCCTAAAAAATTAACAAGTAAAGCATTTAACAAGTAATATAATTGATTAATAATAAAGTTTATGTGGCGATTTAAATCTATAACTTGTTAAATTATTATCTTAATTTATAAAATTAAGTACATTACTGGTTAAAAGTTCTAGTTGTTAATTCTTTGGTGTCTCTTGTTGTGTGCGGTACATTGTAGCTAATATAATTACTAATCTTTAAAAAGATTTGTTAATTCTTTAAGTTTTCTATAATTATACTTGTAAAGTTCATATAACGAGTTAAATATATTATTTGTTAACTGGTTAGCATAACTTGTAAAATCAGTTACATTATTTATTAAAAATCATAATTGTTAGCTTTCTTATGTTATTTGTTTTGGTACAACATATTAAAATACGTATATTTTGGTCTTTTTATTTTACAATTTTATTTAAATTCAAGCCTAAAATCTTATAGTCAAATTTTAGATAGTGTTAGGTCTGATTTAAAGGTACGTCACATTTAAGATCCTTAGGACTCTCGACAGTAATGAACACTGCCACATCAAACTCAAAGGGACACAGTATAAAGTATGTTAAGACGCTGTGGCGTCATGTTATATAAACAATGGTACATTAGGAACACTCCAGCAAGGCAGAAATAATATTATATCTTCTGGCTTGAAGTTAATTTTTAGACTTGTCACTAGTTATGAAACATGTAAATATGTAATAAAATATTTATTTGAGAAATTTGAATATAGATAATAGTTTGAAAATAGTTTTTCTTTTAAATACTCTATCAATGGTTTAATGGACTCTTCAAAAAAGCTGAATTCAAAAACTAAAAGTTAATTAAAAATCAAATAAATAAATTTAAAATTTAAACATTAAAAATTAAAGCTAAATAATATAATTTAAACAACAATTTTTCCAAAAAATTAAAAAAACAGTTTGGCGAAGGAGGTGGAAAAGAATAAAAGAGAAATGAGTTGAGATATGATCAGATTTTATAAGATGCACATGCATCGCGTTTTTTTTTCCCCTAAAACCAAGAATGGAAGAATTATTCCCTCAGTGTCAAATTATAAAATACTTTTAAAAAAAATTTAACATCCTAAAATATAAAACACTTTAAAAAGATTAAAGTTTCATTAAATAAATTAATTCTAATATTAAGCTTCCTTTTTTTATAATTAATTTTCATCCCTTTTTTAATATATTAAATGATGGGCATATTTAAAAGTTTATATTTTTTTTTTTTAAAAAATAAAATTATTAAGTATATTTAATGAGATTTATTAATATATAAAATTTTATTTAAAACTGTCATGTAATTTATAATGGAAGGAGTATATCATTAACAAAAGACGCAGAGTCTTATGCACGGCGAAAATAAAAGCCAAGCTGAGAGGCAAAGGCCTTCCAACAAACAAAAACAAAAAAGCAATGACAGCTTAGCCAATTCCTTCTCTGTTCCTATTGGTCACTAGTTGCTAGAGCTAGAAAAATAGACTGAACCCGTCAGACCTACCTCGTTTAAGCCCGTATAATAGGAGGGTTGGGCTTGCAATTAGGACCCCTCAAATGATAAACAATCTCAAATGGGCTAGCTGGTTTAGATCTTAATTTAAATATGCTATTCCTAACAGGCTAAAGGCCAGCTCGTTTGAGCCCATGTAACTTTTTTTTTTTCCAATCAGCACATGTAGGCTGCAGGTAGCATGCCTTACGTGGATTGGTCTAAATCTCGCCTAGGCTGGAATTGTGTAAGTTGGAGGCTTGGAGCCCATATCTGCTAAAGGAGGGAATTGATAAAAAAAGCTAACCCTAAATCCTAATTCAATCTTCACATCATGTTTAGGTTCAATCATTCACTCTTAATCACTCTTCACTCTTCAGAAACACAAGCTGGAGCCTGGAGCTAATGAGAGCCGACGTCGAGACCCAAAAATCATGTGGACGAGGTTCAGATTGAGAGTCATCTCTAGTTAAAATAAAACCCAAAACTCACACGAACCCACTATCGAGAGTCAGATCTTCCTCAACGACGATGAAGGTTGTGTCTCTTTGACGCTCAACCCGATGGCCCCGAGTCTGTGAGTGTTCACGAAGCATTCTCCCCTTTTGATTGGGCGTTCTATTCATGAAGTCCTCATTCTTTTGCTTGGGTGTTATGTTCATAAAGCAATCTGTGAGTGTTCATGAAGCATAGGTTTGATCTCCTCTTTGGGTGTTCTGTTCTAGCTTTGATTTGTGAGTAATTTATTCTTTCTACTTTGATGCAATGCAATAGGCAGACATCATTATAAATTTATAATGTTTACCTCACAACCACACAAGAGTAAGAGCAAGGCAACCAATGTCTCTAGCAATGACTTAGCCAAGTGTGATGATGGAATGTTGGTTAAGAGTGGTATGGTCCTTACTTCAGTTACCGGTAGTGGCAATCTTGTTGGAAAAGATAAAGGAAAAATACTTGCTAGTATAGTTCAAGAGGCAAGGGACGTGCACGTGGATGATGAACTAAAAACTAAAAAGTCTAGAAGTAAGTCATGTTCTTCTATTCAAGAGACTGATGAATCTAAGTTTAAAAAAGCTAGAACTTTGATGTTTGGAAGTATTTTATTAGAATTGATGTTAATGGAAAACTAAAAACAAGGTAATGGCTGTCAAACTTTATTAGTATTAGGTGGGGCTAATGGTACTTCATATTTAAATATGCATGTTAGATCTTGCAAAGTGCTGGACAAAGTTCATGATATTGGAGTGATTTTATTGGATAAAGAAGGCAATATTAGGTGTCAAAAAATTAATAATATGTGAATTTGGAGGATAACAACTATGGCCATAATTGAACAACATCTTCCTTATTCCTTTATTGAGTATGAGTAGATCAAAGAACTATTTTTGACATTGAATCTTGATGTTAGGCTCTTTACTAGAAAAATTGTTGTTGCTGATGTTGTAAAATTCTTCCTTCAACAAAAAGAAAATTTGAAACAAAAGTTGAAGAGAAGTAATAATAGAATTTGTTTGACATCTAATTGTTGGACATCTGTGACTTCTGAAGGGTATATTTGTTTGACAGCCCATTTTGTGGATGAAAGGTGGAAACTATGTAGTAAAATAATTTCATTTTGTAAAATGGAACTTCCACATTCTGGGATAAAGTGCATAAATATTTGATTGATTGGGAGATTGAGAACAAAAAATTCTCGATTACTTTAGACAATGCATCTGCAAATGATTATATGCAGGACATATTAAAAGAGAGGATAAGTCTGCAAGATGATTTCAAATTAGTAAGTAATAGAGAATTTTCTGTGTGAGGTGTTGTGCTCATATCCTAAACTTGATAGTTCAGGTGGGTTTGAAAGTTACAAGTTCTACTTTACATAAGATTAGAGAAAGTATTAAATTTGTGAAAACATCAAAGCCAAGGTCGATTCTTTTTAAACAATGTGTTGAGCAAGTTGGCAACATTAACACCTCAATGGGCTTGCAGTTAGATGTGCCCACTAGATGAAACTCTACTTACACGATACTTGAGACTGGAATTAATATTATCATGCTTTTGCACACATGGCTGTAAATGATACAAATTACAAGTTTAACCTTACACATTATAAGTGGGCTAGAGTTGATGTAATGCGCACCTTCTTACGGCCATTTGAGAAGATTGCAAGATTAATTTTTGGGTGATCATATCCTACTTCAAACTCTTATTTTATGCAAATTTTCAAAATTGAGATGTTGCTTGATGCAAATATAAAAAGCCCCGATCTTGTGATTCAAGAGATGGCTAGGAAAATGAAATAAAAGTTTGACAAGTATTGGAATGAGTACAATGTCATTCTTACACTTGCAGTAGTTTTTGATCCAAGATGAAAATTTAATATAATACAATATTGCTATACGAAGATTAACCCTATCACTTGTTGGAAATTGTGCCCTAGGGCCAATCATTATACTATGCATATTATTATTTAATGAATTTTTCTTTTGTTATCATAACAATTGCATGTTCAATATGATAACTATATCCTTAAACAAATTATAGTGATTGTCCTAAATGTCCCTGGTCGGTCATCTTTGAGGGATCATAGATGAAACAAGACTTGTATGACTTTGATTAATTATAGAGATACAAATTAAAGTTATAG